CCCAGGCATCCGACAGCCCAGGATCTGAGGGGCCTTTTGGTTCCGGGGCTCGTTGAGGCCATGTCCCTACAAGTCAGCAATCCTGAGCTACACAGATCCAGCCCACCTGTAGACTCTCCCGGGCCCCAGCAAGCGAAGGCCAAGAGAATCGTCCCCTCTGGGGCTTGGGCAGCCTAAGACCCACTCTAGAGAAAGGCACCAGTAAGGCAAGGCAAATATTTCCACTCACTGGGAACAGACACAACAGGCAGACCCTCATCCCAGAGGCACAAGGACAAACAGGGGTGGCATCTCTTCCAGGGCCCAAGCCTCCAAATGAGCCTCCGTGTATGCAGTTGCCACGTATGGAGAGACATTCCGAGAAAAACGAGGACACGCACACAGCGCGTGTGCACACAGAGGCTCATCAGCCCTGTTCTCCACCCTTCGCAGCCCTGAGCGGGGCCACAACCCCTGCCTTCACCCTCTCCCCGCAGACACCTGGTCTGGGAAGCCCCAGGCCCTGCCCATCATGGAGGGCACCTACACCTGTTACCCTGGTGCCCGGGAGTCTGTCTCCCTCTACGTGTGTGCCCCTGCCCATCTCCTTGCTCCCTTGCTCTCTGGGCCACTAGCCCAGCCCACGACTCCCACCAAGGAGGAAGTTCCTCCAACCTCATCACTCGAGCCCTCTCCTCCCTGTCAGCCCCTCACCACCATGGGGAGTTTTCTGTACCTCCACGTCCAGGGCATCCCCACTCCTACCCCACCAGCCAGCTGCCCACTGGCTTCCCCCATGACACCTTTCTCCACTTCTCCCCCCCCCCCATCCGTGCGCTGCTTCCTCCCACCCACCCCCCAACTCCCCAGCGAGCTCCAAGTTCTCACTTTCAGCAGGGAGGGAGATTCCCTCTTCCTCCCCTGACCCAGAGGGACTCTCCTCCTTGTGACGGGCCTGGGGCCAGGAGCACGTTATCCAGCCCAAGTGCCCGCACCTGGCCACACAGCCAAGGAAGAGAGAGCCTTTACCCAGGACCGCTGGACGAAGACACCAACTCCAAGGGTGGCACCCTCCACGGGGCAGGGGTGGTGAAGAACAGTCCGTCTCCCCCTGGGGGAAGGTTACAGCCGGGAGGGCGCAGAAACTCCCCGACCACAGGCGAGCTCTCCGCCCAGCGGTCAGACCACGCTAGTGCAGGGGCGCAGGGCCAGGCCGGTCGGTTGGCTCTGCAGCCAAAGAGCCGCCCCCCATCCCAGCCAGGACACGAAGCCGGGATCAGCTCCAGGCACTTCCCCTTCCCCTAGAACCTCCGCTCTGGCCCCCAGGGACAGGGCAGGATGCCCCTCCCTGACCAGCCATGTGCAGTGCCTCGTCCGGCATCACTCAGCCTTACTCCCAGGGCTATCCTCACCCTCCCGAGGGCCTCTGGATGCAAACTCCAGGGCCCAGAACCTGTCCAGGATGGAGAAACTGACTCCAGCGCTTATCTGCAGCCCCTCCAGCCCCTATGAAACCTCCACTACCCGGGCAGAGTCCCACTGCTGTCCCCTGCCCTAAAAGTCCCACAGGCAAGCAAAGTGACACATCCAGGGCCACCATGCATAGCCAGAGGGCCATCTGCTCACAGGTAATAACACACACCTCCCCACTATGACATTAGGGGTCACCGGGACTCAAGGCCACAGTGAAACCTCCATGCTTGGGACGCAAGACCTCCAGCTACAACAGCCCAGCAGTCTCACAGGCGGGAAGTGAGGCCAGGGTGAGGAAGAGGGGCTCTCTCAAAACTCCCGTGTGCATACTCATTCCTGCTAAGCCCCACTGTGGCCCATCCACGCAGCCCCCACGCCAGGCATGGAAGAAAGCGACCTTGCTCCGGAAGGCCTGGGAGCCCAGCAGGGATGGGCAGAGACCAGGGACATGCCAGCTCCCCAGGGGGCCTGGATGAAGCCCATGGGGGACAAAGAAACAGCAAAAGGCCCTAGACATTGGCCCCCACCCGACTGAAACCAGCACATTCCAAACCCTCCCCAGCAGCCGCCTGCCTGCCTTCCTCTCCTCGCGTGCACAGGGCATGCACAGGCTTACCACCTCCAGGGAGAGAAACCTGGGGGCGCGGGGGCGGGGGGGGGGGGTTGGGGGGGGAACAGGGAGAGCCAGCAGTGGGAGGGTTCCCATGAAGAGTAGGATTAGCTCTCCTGGTATGCCTCTGTCTGTCCCCCAGGCGGTTCCCAAGTTCTGAGGAAGGTTAGTGACCACACCCCAGAGCCCCACACACCCCTCCGCCCCCACAGCTTTGCCCCAACCTCTCAAACCAGCTGCTCAGGCTCTGGGTAGCATGCTCCACCAGGGCCTGCCAGCCAATTCCGAGCTGAGCCAAGGAATCCAGCCTGGCAATGCCTGGGCACCTCCACCCAGGGCCTCCCTGTTCAGGTGATCCCGGAGACCCCCATACCATACCCTGCCCTTGTCTGCTGCTGGCCTTCCCCCACCCCCTCCCGTCTCCACGAGTCTCCCATGGTTTACTCTCTCTTATCCCACCCTGGGCCCTGGACCTGTAGCCTCAGGACCCTGAACCAAGTCCGGCTGGTACGAGTCCTCAGCTCTGTGGGGTTAGCTCTTCAAGGAACTGCCCAGACCAGGACCCTGAGCCATTGCTAAGGGCTTCCATGTCAGCAGCACTAAGCCCCGCACGACTTACGTGGCTCCCTACGTGTCCTTGTTCAATGACCAGTGTCTCTGCATATAATCTCCTAAGGACAAGACTTTACAGAGGGGCTTAGAACACCCCCTGATCCCCATTTTGAACCCTGCAGACCCTGTGTCCTCTGCTAGCCCAGTTTTCAAGATCCCAAGTCCTCTCCTACCCCGCCCCACCCCCACCTCCTTCCAACCACAGCTCACAGCTCAGAGCGAGGAGGTGCCCCCTAGGCCTGGGGTGCCCTTCTGCTCCCCACTCTGCACACTCTGCCTACCGACGGCTGGCCCAACCCATCAATCCCTTTGGGCCAAGTAGAAGGAAGCTTCCCCATTCAGCTTCGGAAAGGAAGTGAGGGCCACACCCAGCTCCAGGGATTTCCCTCCTGGGGGGCGGCGGAAAAGAGGAAAATGAAAGGGGACCCTGCTCCCCCAGTTTTGAGGCAGCACAGGTGTGGAGGCCTGAAAATGCCTTCCAAGGCATCTTCAAGCTCTTCCTCTTTCCCGCCCCCCCACTCCCGCGCCTTCACCTGTCACTACAGCCCCACACTGTCACTATGTCTCACAACATCAACCCAGCCCCTACCAGTGCGGGGCAGTGCAAGGAAGGGCAGGTGAACCCTGTCATCGGAGGCTGGATTCTAAAGAAGGAACTGTTTCAAAACCAATTGTTGGGAGCCCAGCGCTGTGCTGGGGACACAGAGGTAAATATCGTAGTCCTTCTTCCTCCAAAACGCCAGGTAATTCTCTAAGGACCCCACTGCCATGGGATGATCCCACCCTGCCTTTCCACAAATCCACTACACAGAGCAGGGCTCTCAGCGGCCACCGCGCAAACTCCCTCGGGGCACCTCACCACCACCCCTCTGCAGCCACACCCAGTGAAAGGCGAGAGCACACACACCACGCACACAATTCTCCGTGGCCACGTTGTGGGTGCAGGCGCCCAACTAGAGCCCTGAGTTGCCCCCTCTGCCCACTCGGCTCCCCTCCCACGCAAGGGGGGCACAGCCAGGCCTGCTCAGACCCCACGTATCCCTCGCGGCCAGCTCTGCCCAGGGCTGCGCCCCCACATCCCCGGCCCTGGCACTGCAGGGGGCGCCCAGCCCAGCCAGGGGAGGGCCAGGCCCTCACACACTGCACACCCTCTCCCTGCACGGGAAAGCCTTACATAACACCGCTCTCCGAACACACCCTAAGCACTCAAGCCTTTCCAACTCCGTGGCAGGACCTCGTCCCCCAACCCTCTCTCCAAGAGCGCACCGCTGGAGTGGAGGGTCCAGAGAGCGCAGCGAAGCCCTCCTCCTACGCGGGGCCCCGCTCCTGCCCCCATCTCCCACACACAGCCCCTTCCCCTCCTCCCCTTTGCCCCTCACCACTCCTCCCCGAGTTCTGGTTTGAATTAGTCAGCGGCTCCAACCACCACATTCCTCAGGCTGCTGGCGCCGAGCCAGGCGCTGGGGCGGGGGCCATCCCGCCCCGACGAGTTTGGGAGTGGGGTGGGGGAGAGCGCACCGCCCCCGAAGGGGAAGGGGCGGTCCCGAGGGCCGGGCAGCCACACCGCCCCCCCCCCTCCCCGCCCACCCCAGTGCTGGAATCTCCCTAATTACGCCCCCCACCCCCACTCCCACCCTTCCCGCCGGGGGGCGCGCTGCAAACGTCCAGGCAGCGCCGCCCCGGAGGAAGCAGGGAGTCTTCTGGGGCCGGGAACGCGGAGCGGCCAGACTAGGGCGGGGCAGCTGGAGGGGGGCTGAGAAAGGGAGAGGCCGGTGGTACAGAACTGGGTGGGGCCGGGAGGACTCCGGACGCGAAGTTAGAGGCGGAGGTGTGGGGAGCGGGGAGGGACAGCGGAGGGGGCGCGGGAGCGCGGGGGCTCCGGGAGGGGCCAAGGGGCCGCGGCGGCGACCTCGGAAACTTCTCCAGTAAACACGGAATAGGAGCTACAGCAGTGCGCTGAGCCACCGCCCCAAAGAGAAGGAGGGGATGGGACAGGGGCCCCCGGACCAGGAACAGGGCTCCCTGCCGGGCAGTAGAACTAACAATCAGCCCTCGAGAGAAATAAGGACTGGAGCAAAGCGCGCTTCGGAGCGATTTTCCAACTTTGCCCAACTTGCGCCCCACCTCCGGAGGCAGAGTTCGGCTCCCAGGGCGCGGCGCGACGCGACGCGTCGCCTGCCCGCGCGACCCGGGGCTGCCTAGCTTGCTCCACGCCGTTTGAATCCTCGCAGCGCGCCTGGCCCAAGAGCGCGGCCCAAACCCTGCAGCCCACCTCCCCTCGCGCGTTCGCGGAGTCTTGTTCCCGCGGTGCGCCCCGTGCCCCTACCTGCGCGCTCAGCCCCAGGGCACAGCCATAGCCCGCGCGGGGCCCCAGGTCGCGGTGCTGCGGCTGCTGCAGGCGGCGAGCCCCGGTCGGGGCGGGTCCGGCAGGGCGGGCGGTGCAGTCCCCGCGGCGGAGCTGCTCCGAGTGGCCGGGCCCCCGCGCGCGGAGGCGGCTCTTGTAACTCCGGCTCCGGCGGGCGGGTCTGCCCCGAGCAGTGGGGAGAGGGCGGGGCCGGGCGGGGCCGGACTGGGGCTGGGACTGGCGAGCGGGGGCCGACCCTACAAGGACCCGGGAGCGGGCCGCCGGGGTGGGGGTGGGGGTGGGGGGGCCACTGAGGGTCGCAGGGACGTGGGGGCGCCGCACGTCCGAGGGGCTGCCTTACCCTGCCCCCATCTAGTGCCCCCGTCCCTGGCGCGTGCCTGGATCTACCCCCAACGTATGCCGTGTGTGGTCTCCTCGGCCAGAAACTCCTCGAAGCTCCCCAAGGCTCATCCTCCCAGCTAGAACCGCGAATCAGCTCATTTTGCGGGAGCGGCTGGGGGGCTTGGGTGATTCGGCCGCGACCTCCAGCCTGGCGCGGACCTTTTGAGTTTTCTCTCAACCCAGGAACCTACACTTCAAATTCCAGGCCCCTGTCTCCTCCTCACTTAGTTTCTGAGCTCCAGGCAGCCGCGCCCATTTCTCGCCTCGCCCCTTTCGGAGGGCCCCCAGCCCCTCCCCCCACAAAGCCGGTCTGAAGACGCTGGCCCCACCCCTGGAGTTAAGGTGCCCACGTGGAGTCACCAGGGCCCCACGCACCGCGGTGCCGCTCCGGCCGCTGCAGCGACATGGGAGTCAGGCCGGCAGCCCCCCCCCCCCCCCCTTCTGCAGACTCCTTGCAGGCCGGAGCGCCAGCCTTTCCTCTACCTACCATTTCTTATCCGAGTCCCTCCCCCACCTCCCCACTTGGAAGGACGCTGTTTCCAGATTTACTGCGATTTCCCACAGCCACTTCTAACTCCATGAGATTTTATTAACCGCTTAATGATGGGGTGCAGGGGGGCTTCTGGCGCTACGCAGTCCCCTTCCACCTCCCACTCTCTTCTCCCCCGACGACTCCTCTTATCCTTCCTCCTAGGCGGCCACCCACTACCCGCAGCGAGGAAACTTTCCTTCCTCCCGATTGCGGAGGAAGGGAGACCCCAGGCTGGGGGGGGGGGGGGGGGGGGGGGGGGAGGTCCAGGAGAAGACCTGGCTCCAGGCCGGAGCTCCCTCCTCGCTGCAAGATCATGAGTGGGCTAGGGCTGAGACCTGCGGTCCTGTCCTCTGAAATGGCAAACATGTTTACAGGCTAAAAATACCCAGCAGCCAACTCTGCTGCCAGCCCTGGGGGCTGTGTCCCAGGTCCAGTTACCAGCACAGGGTACAGGCCGTGGGGGAGGGAAGACATAGCAAAGGAGCCATAGCTGTGCAGACTCATACAATGGACACGGAAAGGTGGAGACACACGTGTAGACATTCAGACAGGCATCGACATGCAAAGACAGACAGACAAAGCAGAGACTGGGGCACTAGCATTCTCTCTATGTCTCTGTGTCTATGTCTACGGTCTCTAACTTGCTCGTGTGTGCAAGAACGTTCTCTCTCTCTCTCTCTCTCTCTCTCACTCACACACACACACATACACACACGTAGATAGGGACTCAAACCCATGGCAGAGGCACACCACACACATCACAAACACAGCCATAGACCCAGGATTTCTAAAGAAGCACCCTCTCCATTTTGTTCTGTACACCTTCCCTAGAACCTGCCTTATTTAAATGTTTGTTTATTCTTGAGAGAGTGTGAGCGTGAGCGGGGGAGGGGCAGAGAGAGGGGGCAGAGGATCAGAATCGTCTCTGTGCTGACAGCCGTGCGCGAGCCCTATGAATGGGGCTGTCGAACTCACAAACCCTGAGATCATGACCTGAGCCAAAGATGGAGGCTCAACCGACTGAGCCACCCAGGCGCCCCCCCAACCTGCCTTATAAAAAAAAGGGGGGGGGGTGCCTGGGTGGCTCAGTTGGTAAGCATCGGACTTCAGCTCAGATCATGATGTCACGTTTTGTGAGTTTGAGCCCCGAATCCTGCATCAGGCTCTGTGCTGACAGCTCAGAGCCTGGAGCCTGCTTTGGATTCTGTGTCTCCCTCTCTCTCTGCCCCATCCCTATTCATGCTCTGTCTGTGTCTTAAAAAATAAATAAAACATTTAAAAAAATTTAAGTTTATATATATATATATATATATATATATATATATATATATATATACATACACACACACACACATACATATGTATATATGTATACAAACTTTTCAACTTTGGGATGCTTTTAAAACACAAAAACCAAGAGCTACTATATTTCCTTTACCAATGGCTTTTAATTCATATTTCATTTTCAGAAACATTTATTCGGCTTTTCAAAAATGGACCAAGAATACAGATAAAGTGGCCCGTAAGGCTCCAAGTCAGACAATCCTTGTTGACATTTTTTAAATAAAATCAATGCCTCCATCTGGTGAAGAATGTAAACAATACAGAAAGGTAGGACAATAAAAAGTAAACATCTCCTTCCTCCCCTCCTCAGGACCTCTCCCCAAAAGTAACCACTGCTAACAGTGTACCAAAGGATATCTAACTTTATGAAATGAATCATCTGGTTCCTTGAAAGTGCAAGTTTTCCCAGGACATATTTTTTTTAAAAAATGTTAATGTTTATTTTTGAGAGAGAGAGAGAGAGAGACAGAGCGTGAGTGGGGGAAGGGCAGAGAGAGAGGGAGACACAGAATCAGAAACAGGCTCCAGGCTCTGAGCTGTCAGCACAGAGCCCATCGCCGGGCTCAACCTCACAGACTGTGAGATCACGACCGAGTCGAAGTCGGACGCCCAACCGGCCAACCGACCGAGCCATCCAAGCGCCCCTTCCCAGGACATATTTAAATGGGAGTGGATTTACCTAGGTTTTCAGAAGGATAGCTCGGATGATTTGCCACAAAGACACAGGGGATCTGCAGAAGGGCTCTGGGAGTTTGGAGGGAGGGGCTGGAGCAGGAAAGGAACAGTGGGGGGGGAAGGGTGCGGGTGTTGTGCCCCCACTGCAGCCCGGGCTCCGTCAGCCCCCCAGGAGTGAAAGAGCAGAGGCTAGTGTCCTGGGCTCCAGGCCAACTTATCTGCTGCATTGTTTGTCCTGGCCACCCTCTTGGTCAACAGAGAAGAAGGCAGGAGGGGCTGGGTTTGGAGCAGCTATAGAGCAGGGATTACTGTCCAGGTACCTCATTCAGAGGTAAGAGTGTCAAGATCCCTGGTGGGGGATGGTCCCGGGGACTGGCTGTTGCCCCACTCCAAGCAGGAGTGTAGAGAATGGGGTAACCCAGACCCTTGCCCCGTACAAAGCCACGATCGTGCCTGCTGGAGCTGGGATTTCCTAGGCCAGCTTCCACAGCGCAGGGGAAGGGAAATATATTCAACAATTTTCAATGATGTGATTGGAGACACACACACTCTTTTGGAAATTTCTGCCAACCCTTCTCCTTCTGCCCACGGCTGTGGCTCTCCCCCCCCCCCCCCAAAGCTACTCTAATAGTGATTGTGTCTAATGCCACAGCAGGCACTATCATGTGTTAGCTCATTTAATCCTCACATGCTCTGGGAGGAATAGTCTGAGAGGGTTAGTGATTTACCTAAAGGCACAAAACCCTCAGAAGCAGGGGTCAAAACTCCCACTGGCATCTAAGCTCCATGAGGGCAGGGAATTCTTTGTTCTTTGCTGTCTGTCCTGCACCTAGAGCCGAGGCTGGCATGTAACAATCAATGAAGAACACTGTGTGGAATGAATGAGTGAATGAAGGAATGAATGAATGAACCAACTACAGGTACAACTGGCCCCACAGCCCTTGTTCTTTTCACAACAGCATCCTGAACCCCACACTTCCCTTCAAGGTCAACCTCCAGGGAGCAATCACTCCACTTACAGACCTCACGTGCAGCTACACAAACAGTTATTGTGCGTCCAACACAAGGCCAGGGGCCCATGGGCGGGGGGGGGGGGGGGGGGGACGGTGCAGGGAATGGAGAACTTGACAGGACGCAATCCCTGCCCTCAAGGTGCTCTGTCCTGAAGGAACTGTATTCTGAGTCCCCTGCAGGTCCTATGCTTTGGGAAAATCGGACATTATCTTTTCGGCCAGGTCTTTTACACGGATACCTCACCCCCCACCCGCACACAGATACACACACTATTTCTTTAGTTATAAGGATTCCTGGGGTGTCAACTTTGCAAAGAAAACCTGTATCTTCGGGGAGGCTTCAGATTCGTCTGTCAAATTAAGGGCTACCCAGGGATCAGGGAGGACTTGAGCCCTCCTGCTGGCACTCCCATCATCTTTCAGAGGCATCCCACACCACAGTCCTGCAGATTCCCTGGCAGAGCTAGGTGAGTTCTAGGACTCGTCATCACTGGGATACCCCAGCTTCCCCAGAAGTTTTGCTCCCTCCCCGCAGGGGGTTCCCTGATGTGTACACACAGTGTGTGTGATGAACCTTGGGCTCCTCGGTTGCCAGGCGACGTGCCTCTGTTTTGTTCCTATTATGCCCATTTCCATAGCAACCACAAAGGGAGCTCTGTGGGCAGGCCCCTGGCCAGGGGATTCCCCTTCCCCTCCCTCCTCACCACAGTCTCCTTCTCTAAAAATCAGTGTATTACAGGGAAGACAAGACGCCGACTGCTCAAAAAGTAATCATGGCTTTTAAACTGTGATCCCAGAAAGGAAGTGAAGTGTGCAATCTGTTTGCAGTCTCTTTGAAAGCAGACTCCCTGCCCCTCCCATGAGGGCCCTCTGGCGTGTCAGCCTTAGAAGCAGAGAAATGACTGTTACCCCTCCTTTGAGCCATCTGGGATCTCCCAGACCCCACCTCCACCCCATACACACACACACCCGGAGCTTAGCATCTCTGCCAAACATCAGGCCCTTCCCTGTTGTTCCCTTTTCACTGCTTCCCAATCTGTCTTCCCCAGAGAACAGCAGACCTAGTGGGTGATTCTGGGATCCACACATTAGGTGTTCAGCAATCGTCAAACCCCAAACTCCTCACCCGCACTCAAAATCTGAATTCAAGTATTCCGGCTCCGTTCAAATCCC